TTGAATTGAGGACCAAAAATCATTACTACTGTTTAAGTAAATAAAAATGAGTAGTTCACTTCAACATGTAAACATTGTTTGAACTAACACAATTTGATTATCAAACATTTGTAAAATAGTAATGATCATAGAGAATTGTCTTTTCCACTTGATTAATTCAAGAAAGAAAGTCTCAGGATCGATCAACCTGTATTTCTGGATGCAGATCAATGAAATGACAGTTTCTGACCATATGATCCTAAGGTCATTGATTTGACATCAGGTCAAGTTCACTACAAATCTAAATGACAAATGTGGAGATTTCTTAAATATATATATTTTTCTGGAAACTTGAATGCCTGAAAATATTTGTAAAGGTGCACAGTCGTCCCTCGTTTATCGTGGGGGTTACGTTCTGGGCCTTTGGTTCTATATCATGTAAGCTACGCCCTTTGAAAGATGTTGCTGCAGGGCAGTTTTTCGCTTTGCCTCTATAAATTAAGGGGTTCCCAACTCTGGTCCTTGAGGAACACCATCCTGCATGTTTTAATTGTTTCTCTGCTTTGTCACACCTGATTTTAATAATGGGTGATTAACATGCTTCTGCAGAACATGGGGAAGTAATGAAATCACCAAATCAGGTGTGTTGGAGTATAGGGAAACACCTAAAAAATACAAGTGTTCCTCAAGGACCAGAGTTGGGAACCAATGAGGACTTTTCACAAAACTGCCCATTTTTCTTTGCATGATAGAGCTTTAAGCAGCATTTGGCCCAGTGAACTGTGTTTATAGACAATGATCTGTGGATGTGTTCCTGAGTCCATGCAGTGAGGTCCAGAGCTAAATCAGACTTGCTTTTAATGCAGTGGCCCCTGAGCACCCAAAGATCATGTCCAACCAATGCTGGATATGGATATTTAGTTAGTTCATTTTTCTATTGAGGAACATTATTTTGAAATTGTGCAACTATTTTGTAGAGATTTTTGTAGACTGCTTAAATTAAAAAAAGTTCAAGACAAAAACTTTACTTCTGCTTAACCTCTGCCCATTTTAAATTCTGAAAGCTTTTCTAAAATGCTTATTTTATCCCTTGTCCTACTAATGACCCTTTGCCAATTAACCTAGACTGTTACAAAATGCTTTGCCTCATGTTTTCTTAAAGCCTTTTGTTGTCCCTGTCCTAACATTATTGCTGTATTTCTGACATTAAATAATGTTTTTACTCAAGAAAATACAATTTCTTATATTTAGTATGGTTCCATTATGTTTGAGATTTTCAAATAACTCTTCTGTTTTAATACATTTTTACAGGTTTTTAATTTTTTGGGGGAATTGAGGTAGCACAAACACAAACATGAACTGTGAGCAGTCATTACCGGGGTCCAAGCTACTTGATGCATGTCAACCCTGGCTAATCTCATCTCCAGCGCTCTTGTGTATTATAGACGTGTAATATGATGAGGAGCAAAGCTAAGGTCTTTATACCAAAGTCTAAATAGTCTTTCCTCTTCTTTAACCTTTTCCATTTTTAGTGGTCTTCACAGCAAGTCATTCTCCTCCATCTCACTCTTTCCTCACTCCAACATGTCCTCTCTCAATAAATCTCTTTTCTCCTGGCAGCTGCATTTCTAACATCCTTCTACCAATATACTCACGGTCCCTCCTCTGGACATGTCCAAACCATCTCAGTCTGGCCTCTTTAACTTTATATCCCAGTTGTTCAACCTGTGCTGTACCTTTGATGAGCTCATTCCTAATCTTATCCATCCTTGTCACTCCTAAGCAGAACCTCAACATCTTCATTTCTGCCACTTCCAGTTCTGTCTCCTGTCTTTTTGTCAGTTCCATGGGTCAAATTACTCTTGTAATTTATTCATTTGAAGTATGCTAAACTTTTGTAACAAACCACACTTCAACTCCATCCTGCACGACTGTGTTCTTATTGTTTGTCAATTACATCCTGTGAGAATTTAAATTAAAAATGTCACTAAAAATCAGTCAAATTTAGAAAATATTTACCAATAACTATATGCTTTCTGTACAGAAACTATTGTTTTCAAGCTTCTTTTGTAAAAAAAGAATTAATAACAACAACAACAACAACAAAAAAAACACTGAATATTACATAAAATAATATAATAATACCCCCCCACCCCCCCACCCCACACACACACACACACAAAAAGTAAACGATTGATTTTTTTTTTTCCAAAGAAAATTTCATTTTTCCTCAAGACACCCGGAATAAACATCTCCGCCATTTTCCCAGATTGGAAAAACTGACGCTAATTTACAGCATTTTTTTTTTTTTAGATTAAAACAAATTGCCAAAAGCCTGAGGTTTAAGTATAGTTTACTATAAACCAAAGTATATAACCAGTAGGTTAAATTTAGCTCAAACTTGTGATTGAAAAAAAAATATAGCCTATAAAAAGACGCCCACTTTTCACAATCATTACCAAATTCCAAAGAACAACTCAAATTATTGTATTGTCCTGTGTTCAAAGTTTGGTAGAAATCAGCTGTTGTTTTTTTTTTATTTAAATTTTTACACTTCAGAGCCTTTTTTATTTATTTTTTTTATTTTACCTTTTTACTGAAGAAAAATAAAAATTGTAAAAACGGGACAGGTTCCGTTGTCTTGTCTTGGGCCCCTCACCAAACGTCAACTCAGCAGAGACCTTCACATATCTGCGTTTAATTTGTTGAGTTAGGTCACTCCCCCCCCCCCCCCACACACACACACACACACGCACACATCCCTCCACACACACCACCTCCTGTTGAGTGTTCATCCCCGCAGGCGCGTTAAAAGCTGCAGTTGCTGAGACGCACTTTGTGCGCGGCGGTGATGGCCGGAGCAGGAGCGCGCTGTGGAGAGGCGCGTGAACCAGACACCTGGATCTGCTCTCCAAGTCCTCGTTCATTGGAACTGAACACCTTTTTGAGCGCGCGTCTCGTGCGGCGCGTGAGTCTCTCCACATGAGCTGACCGCATCCAAAGCGCCGAGACCGGATGGTTCTGGTCCAAACTCCGCGGCTCAGCCCGGCATGATCGTTTCAAACGCCAGCCCGAGCTGCGCGCGCTGTCACAGCGAAGTGACCACGGGACAGCAGGACTCGTCGCCCCCTCTGTCCCTGACCCCCACCGGGCACCTGGTGGTGGCGCTGTGCCTGGGCTTCATCGGCGCCCTCGGCTTGCTCACCAACTTCCTGGTGCTCGCGCTGTTCTGCCGGTACCGGGCTCTGCGCACGCCCATGAACCTGCTGCTGGTGAGCATCTCTGTGAGCGACCTGCTGGTCAGCGTGCTGGGGACCCCGTTCAGCTTCGCCGCCAGCACCCAGGGGCGCTGGCTGATCGGGCGCGCGGGATGCGTTTGGTACGGGTTCATTAACTCGTGTCTGGGTGAGTCAGCCCCTTTCATTCTGTTCATACTGTGTCAGCAGACTGGATAATAATAACTGTAACAAGTGGAAATTCAGTATTTGTCTTTTCCGCTACTCAGAAAGTGTATAGTATGTTTTGCACAGTCTCTTCAGCACAAAGTTCTTCAAACCAACAAAACATGAGCTGCACCTCTTATATGACCCTGAGCTTCATTTCCAGCATTCAGTAATAAATATATAAACTACACATCAGTCATTTAAAGCTTGCTCCGCAGGGATCATGGCTCCATTATGAGGATGAACACTGAAAAGACATTTCTAGAGCATCATAAATCAGCTTGTCTGGAAGTTGTGTTCATATTTGAGCTCATAGTTTCAGGACAGTCACTCCGATCAGACTTTATTGATTGAAGCTCTCAGCTCTGAAGCTGAAGGAGCCAGATGTTGCAGCCACTGGAGCGACGCAAACTGAAGCAGAGAGCTCACCTCAGATCGTGTTTTAAAATTTAAAAGAGCAATCAGTGCGTTGTGGACTTTTTAGTGATTTAATCCTGGTTTTCTGTTTGGATGAATGAGTGCAGGACACAGAGTTTGGAGCTTAGTTTTCCAGTGCTGTGCATCAAGATGCTCTGATCTCTCCCTCCTTGGAGACTCAACTTAAAAAAACAAGTTTTAAATATTGAGTTCAGTCAGTCAGTACAGCCTTATCTGTTTTATTGTCTTACAAATTGTCAAAATCAATGGAAAAAAGCAGATCTGCAAAATCAGACGTGCAGAAGAAGATTAATGTTGCTAAAACAAAAGGAAAATCATTATCCACATATAAACATGAGAATTATTAACAAACTGTGGCGCTGCATAAAATACATTTACTTGATCAAAACTAAATGCAGAAATAATTATTATCAGTGAAGTTTTAATACCATAACATTGCATCCAATGAAATATAATTGATTACATCAATAAAATCACAACAAAAAATTATAACGATAGAATGAACCAAATAGAAGAAAAGGGATTTTGGAAGTCCTGCATCCTCCTTGCTGAGTCAGCAGTTTGGAGGATACGGCTGAATGTTTGTGTTTTGCTCCACAGAGCAGCACAACAGAAGAAATAAATCTAGGGAGCGCTCATCAGTTTTTAGAGCATGTGGTGTGAAGTGTGTGATGCTATTAAAAAAAAGGTGTTTAAGTCATTTTAAAGTCAATACAAAAAAACAAAACAAAATAACAGTGTAAAAAGCTTGACATATTGGTCCTGATATCCACAATGATAGGTTTCTGTTAAACTATTAATAACTTTTATTTAACGTAACCTGGGCTTTTAGAAAGCTCACAAAATGTTTGAGTATGTAAAATTCAGATATACTTGCTTTTTTTTTTTAATAATGTAGACTTTTTGTTACTCCTAGTGTAGTGCCTTTATCAACAAGTGTTGCAGATTAATTATAATCTGTGCTTTAAAAACAAGAAAGCACACATGGAGGACAAAAAGTGACTTAAAGTGGAAAGAGTACCGAAAAATTGTTCTCAAGTACAAGTACTGTTACGCTGCTTAAATTGTGCTCAATTACAAGTACTGGTGTTATAAAAATACTTAAGTAAAAGTACAAAGTACTCTTCTCAGAAACTTCTCAGAGTATTAATTACTTTTTAACCACTTGATGTTTTATTGTGTTGTCAATAGAAGTCATTCAGTTTGATTCACTGTATATAATAAATATAATTACTACATTCAAAGCTCAGTTCTCAGATGCTCAGAAGCCCCGTCTTATTTTAGTACCAGGCAAACTGATGGCAGTGACAATATCTAAGATCTTTGTATACTTAGACAAACTAATAACCCACACATACAAACAATAAAAAAGCAATGTCATATAGTTGTAAAACCTCGTATACCGCAATATATTTTTTGAGATTAGATGAAGTCTTGTAAGCTGCAATCACCATAGAGATCAAACACAGTTTGCATCTGGATGCTGTCTCCTGTTCACCCTCTGTACATGAAATATTCCTCCAGGTACGACCATCAGTCCTCAGCCTTTACCTCATCATTTTCTCTGCTGATGGTTGGTCCTCTGTCTCCATTTTGGCTTTCTCTCCAAATCTTCGGTCCACAAATGACTGTACAGAATTGTCCTTTGTTTACATCATAGGTAACTGGCATGTTCATGATCTGAGAGCCTTACTGGCTACAAAGATGCAGATGAACGGTTTGAATAGTAATTAAAATTGCAGCCGTGCTCAGCAGCGGCTTCTGATTTTAAAAGTAGTGAAGTAGATTACATGGTCTAAATTGTACTTAAGTATGAGAAAAATTATACTCTTGAAAGAAATGCTCATAAAAGTACAAGTACCCCAAAAAATCTACTTAATTACAGTAATTTGAATATGTGTAATTCGTTACTTCCACCCCTGCCTAAAAGTAAGTCAAAGATGTTTTAACAACAGCAGAAATGATCAGGTATTAGACTGGTCAGGTATTAGACTGGTCAGGTATTAAACTGGTCAGGCATTAAACTGGTCAGGTATTAGACTGGTCAGGTATTAGACAGGTCAGGTATTAGACTGGTCAGGTATTAGACT